TTTCTTCTAGACTCGATAAATTACTTAATTATAATTATCTCAAATCCTCCTAATAATTTCTATCCCTTGTATATCTTTGCTTGAACCGGCTTCTAATGCTTTGGATGGAGTGGCTTGGGGATAGTAGTCGTGGCTCGTGGGGGCACAGTCCTATGGGTAAGGGAAACTCGGATGAGTTACACCACAGAATATGTGATCGAGCGGCGCTATATCAAGTCTGATTCGCTACCTGTTCATCACCGAGGCCCGTTGGAACAGTTGGTATGACATTTGTCTGATAATGTATCTGTCCGGGTTTCAATTCTCGGTAGTGGATGCGCACTGCTGATGAGCCCAAAATAGGTCGAAACGGCCGTCCAGGGCTTTCCGCATTCTGTTGAGGTTTATATATATATATATATATATATATATATATATGTATACAATTAATTGCTTACCATTCTCAGTTGAAAATTTGCTCACCATCGAATTGTCTTATATATATACGTCACTATTATTGTAAACAGGGAAAATTAATATCTGCCGATCTGCAATATCCATATTTTAAAGGACTAATATTATTTATAAATTTACATGCCTCTTAAGGAACCGTGTTTCCGATCGAAACAAATTCATGAAAAATTATATTGCACGTACCACTACATGTTTATCAAGAAGACTCATGTTATATCTCTCAGACCGTAGCTCAATTAGGACCCATTTAAACACACAAGGAAAACTACCAAACTCCGTTCGCAACATTCTTGTGGAAAAATAAGACGTTAATCGCCTCATACACATATAAAAGTCAGCAAAAACTAACGAAAGCATCTTACTTATTATAAAACGCAGATTGTGTGTGTGTGTCTGTACGTTTATATATTGGATCGGATTTCCTACATTTTTCAACCGATTTCAACAAAACTTCACAGGACTACGTAAAATTACCTTGCGGTGGTTCTGACAGCGCCAAAAATTGGAAAAACACAATTGTTTTTGCACGAAATCATTTTGAAAACACGATTAAGAGGCATTAATGAAAGGGGGACAACTCATATCGAGTTCTACTTATTAATATCGAGTTATCGAGTTATACTTATTTTAAAACCCAGGTTGTGTGTGTGTGTGTGTGTGTGTGTGTGTGTGTGTGTGTGTGTGTGTGTGTGTGTGTTTATATATGGGATTGGATTTCCTACATTTTTCAACCGATTTCAACAAAACTTCACTTTTTGGGGGGGAGGTAGTATTTCTTATTGTCTTGCACACTTTTTTCTTTATTTTTACATTCAGAATGCTTTAAAAATTCCATTTACAAGACAATTATTTATAATAAAATTCTATTCAATCGGTAGACTTATAACGATTGAAAACAATGTTTTTGTTTGAGTTTGGGTTTGACCAATTCATAATAGAAAAAAAAAACTAATTAAGACATGCGTGTCCGTCAACCTTAAACAATAATCTTTGTCAATTTTATTTTTCAGTCTTTATGATGGTCGATACTTGATCTATCTCTTACTGTTACATCCCCGGGCAACGCCGGGCCCTACTGCTAGTTAATAATAAAAAAGAAACAGCCAACACTCAATAATACCCATTATGAACACGGACACAACGTGCTGACCGTGTTTGGGAAAAAAACCATTCCCATCTCTATAGACACACATATATAACTACATATTCATGTTCGGATATATCCAACATTCGGGCATTTTTAACTGACTTTCTTTCCAAAAACGAAAACACATTTACGAATGCCAGAAAAATTAAATAAAAATTTTAATCGCAATAACTTGTCAGTCGTCTCTAATGAAACATATATAAAAGAAGGATTGCTGTTCAAATACACAATTATATACATAGATACTTACATACAGTTATTTATCAAAATTATTATCTGTTGCATGTATCTGTAAAAAATAAATCCTTGTTGTCGCTTGTCATTTGCTGTCTTTCAGCTTGCGTTGAGAATCGACTGCGCAAAGCTTTTTGAATGCTTCTAAAATCGACAATTCTTGTTTGGTTGCTCTTTCGTTTGCCATTTCTAAGCGAGAATCCAAAATAACCTGCCATTTCGGCTGACCTTATCTTGTCTTGTCTCCGCTTACAGGGTAAGTGCCGAGAAAGCGTAAGTAATACTCCCGTCGAGCCACGGAAACCAGCACATCGGCGTAGCATCGGTATTGTCCCGCCCAGCACCACCAACCCTACCTCAGGCGTTATCCAAGAGTCTCTCGTAGATGCTGCAGGTGTCGTTGCTACCAAGATAGTAACTAAGATTCCATCCAATTTTGATTCCTATAAACAATTTTTTTTTCTTGTGTCATTTAAAAGAATCTCCCAAAATGATAGATATTTTTTTGCAGTGAATTTCTCCCTATAGAAGGCCCGGGAGCCACTCGAGGTAGAGGATTACAAAGTAAGAAGCAGAGTTTATGCGGATATGTGGGGAAGATAATAGTTAATCCTAGACATGAACAGATTAAGATTATAGTGATCGGGAAAGCATCTTCTTGGGAGACAGTTCCACAGAGCAGCGGTTCGCGGAAGGAAACTGCTCGAGTGGAAGTTACATCTCACCAATTGAATACGAAGGGAATTAGGACGCTTCACTGCAATGTGCATAGCATGGCAGGTCTTGCCCGTGAAGCTTAGAACTGGTGGAACATGGGTACCTCGAGGCGGTGTAATGATTAGCAAGCTTGTCTCGCTAGAACAATTACGATTAAGTAGTGAGTTCGATCCTCACTGGGTAACCCCCGTTTTCGGCCTTGTGCCACATTTAAGCTGCGCTTGGGAAATCAATAGAACTGGTGGGACTTAGGAATGTAGTTCGACTGAGCACTTTCCATTTAAATAGCGGTAGAGTAGCGAAACGCTTGCAATTTTTCGCCTGCGGGAATGGGGTTGTAAGGTAGAAAACAATTCATTATCTACAAGGTCTTCTAAACGATTTTAGATTCTATCAAGACTGGAAAGGAAATACTTAGCTGCACCAACTCAGATATGGCAGAAGTCTTCCATTCTAGGCCTGATCTGCCTCTTGTAAAGATAGAGGATGGCAGAAGGAATCAGGCACTTACTGACGTGGTACAGGGAACTGATCATTTCTCCAGCATCTTTAGCGATGGATCGTTTCAGTTAGTGAAATAGACAAATATGAGCACTGACATAGATATGAACAGGCAGAGATAGATAGATAGATAGATAGATAGATAGATAGATAAGAAAAGACTAAGCCATATACAAAATAATGAAATATTTTTTAATAATCTTCAACATATACAAGGCCCAATGTATAGGGTAACTGAAGGTGATTGTTGTCTGGGCGGTAAGAGTAAGAGGTGCATGGGATGTGTGGGTTATCCCTAATCTTAAAGAGGTTAAAACTGATGTGGTCACAAAAGCATTTGCCTAGGATTCAGTTCCACAAAGCAACAATTCTTGCGAAGAAGCTGTCCAAGAGCAAGTTATTGCTTACTAAAGAAATACGGGGAGAATAAGTCTTAGCTTAGAGGATTACAGTTAGCGAAAGTAAGGAATGTAGCTCGGTTGAACATTTTCCATGGAAATAGCGGTAGAGTAGCGAAACGCTTGCAATTTTTCGCCAGTGGGAATTGAGTTGTAAGGTAGGAAACAATTCATTATCCACAAGGTCGTGTTAACGCTTTTGGTTTCTATCAAGACTGGAAAGGGAATACTTGGCTGTACCAACTCAGATATGGCAGAAGTCTTCCATTCTAAGCCTGATCTGCCTCTTGTAATGATAGAGGATAGCAGGCGGGATCGGGTTCTTACTGATGTGGTACAAGAGAACCGATCATTTCTCCAGCATCTTTAGCGATGGATCGTATGTACGAATTTCAGTCAGTGAAATAGACAGATATGAACACTGAGATAGATATGAACAGGTTGAGATAGATAGATAGATAGATAGATAGATAGATAGAAACAGGTTGAGATAGATAGATAGATAGATAGATAGATAGATTGAAACAGGTTGAGATAGATAGATAGATAGATAGATAGATAGATAGATAGATAGATAGATAGAAACAGGTTGAGATAGATAGATAGATAGATAGATAGATAGATAGATAGATTGAAACAGGTTGAGATAGATAGATAGATAGATAGATAGATAGATAGATAGATAGAAACAGGTTGAGATAGATAGATAGATAGATATGGCAGAAATATTCCATTTTAGGCCTCTCGTAAAGGTAGATGATAGCAGGCGGAATCAAGTTCTTACCAATGCGGTACAACGAACCTACCATTTTTCCAACATATTTAGGGATGGATTGTATGTACGACCCGCAATTGAGATCTGGGTAGAGTTTAAGAATCAATAGACGCTCAACAGATCTGTATGAAGCAGTTGTCTGGAGGCTTAACTGTCTGTCTGTTCTTGTCCCGAATTGGTAAGGACAAACGTCTGTTAGAAGTGTGGTTTTCCTTTATATAAAGATTTAAAGAAAAAAAATATGAATATAAAAAGCAATTTAACAACATCAAGGAAAGGCAGCTGAAGTTTCTGGGATACGTAATGAGAAAGGAGGGCTTGGTGAATCTGATACTCACAGGTCGAATAGAGTGAAAAGGAGACAAGTTAAAGAAACGCATGGCATACCTAGCAGGCTTAGGCAAGTCGATGACAGAACGTGGTCTGTGGTAGGGGCAGTCGGACGAAAGACGGAGAGCTACAAGGCATAGGGGAAAGTGGTGAGCCATGATTGCCTACCGCCTGAAAGGACACGGCACGTAAAATGAAAGAAAACACAGGTCATCAAAACCTTCGTGATCAGAATTTTGTCCCGAAAAACGCTGTTTTAATATAAAGTGAATATAATTTACTAAGACGAAAATACATTGAAAGGGAGATGATATATAGATCATCTTCGATTGATATAGGGCCGGGATATTTCATTTGGTCGCTTGTTCTTACTAATAAAGCAATATCGATGTTAAAGCGTTTATAGATAGACATTAACCATACAGTATCGAGGCCCATGTCCAAGATGCATCTATCTATCTATCTATCTATCTATGATTGTATATCCTTTTATATCTATCTATCTATCTATCTATCTATCTATCTATCTATCTATCTATCTATCTATCTATCTATCTCAGCCTGTTCATTATCTATTTATCTATGTTTGTATGTCCTTGTCTATCTATCTATCTATCTATCTATCTATCTATCTATCTTTGTAATTCCTTATATATCTATCTATCTCAGTCTGTTCATCATCTATCTATCTATCTATCTATCTATCTCAGCCTGTTCATTATCTATCTATATATCTATCTCTCTATCTATGTTTGTATATCTATCTATCTATCTATCTATCTATCTATCTATCTTTGTAATTGCTTATCTATCTATCTATCTCAGCCTGTTTATCTATCTATCTATCTATCTATCTATCTATCCATTTATCTATCTATCTTTGTAATTGCTTATCTATCTATCTGTCTCAGCCTGTTTATCTATCTATCTATCTATCTATCTATCTATCTATATATGTTTGTACATCCTTTTATATCTATCTATCTATCTATCTATCTATCTATCTATCTATCTCGGTCTATTTATATCTGTCTATCTATTCTTGAGAAGAAAAGCGCAAGAAACCGATAGATAGATAGATATGAATAGCCTAATATGTATCTTAATATGTGGCAATTCATTAGATATACCATCATCATATCTATCTATCTATCTATCTATCTATCTATCTATCTATCGTTATCAGTCGTCTTTTTATTTTTTTTCTTGTTGTCTCTCTTTCTCTCCGTGATTTCTCATCCCTCTTTGCACTTACCTTCTGGCTAAGCATCCTCCAATTTCTCTATCCTCATCATCTCAACACTCAGACTTCCCCTTTTGACAAGGAATATTTTGATAACCGTTTTGCCAGAATGCCACACGCCTACAAAATGCAAAACGCTCATCAACAACGTCATCCGAAAAAATGGCAACTCCTGCCACCAGCCAACACACACCACTTCCGGCACTTTTTTTTGAGGTGATTCACTGCCGACTGTCTTCATTATATATATATATATATATATATATATATATATATATATATATATATATATATATATATATATATATATATATCTCTCTCTCTCTCTCTCTCTCTCTCTCTCTCTCTCTCTCTCTCTCTCTCTCTCTCTCTCTCTCTCTCTCTCAAACTGTTCGTTATCTATCTATCTACCTATCTCGGTCTCTTCATTATCTATCTATCTATCTAACTCAATTTGTTCATTATCTATGTAGATAGATAGATCGATAGATAGATAGATAGATAGATAACTTTTCTCCTTGCAGATCTATTTAATAATGAAAGAAAGCATTTATTTTACAAAACAGTAGCGTTTTTTCAACATGATCTACTTTTTGTCAAAACGCTTAATTCAATGTTTTTTCCTTTTCGCACAGTCAAAATTTCAAATCAAAATTCTGTTAATGACTACGGTTCCGGAGTTATTGATTCATCCACTAGCTCACGCGCACACACACATACGAGCGTGCACAAACACACACACACGCGCGCGCGCACGCGCGTGCTATATTGCTTTGCCTGGGTTGAAATGATGAACAATTCATAAATAAATAATAATCGACATCTTAACAAATTATGAATAAAAAACTACGAATATGTCGTCTATTTCAAATAAGAAGTGTCCGCTATAATAACGTTTATTTTAATCTTCTTTTATAAATCGACTAATGGATAACGTTAGCCGCGATGTCGAGCAGTTCCAGTAGATTTTAGAAAATGTTCAGTACCTAGTCCGTGGAGCAATATTTGTAAGCATTATTTTCAAAAGATTTAACTTACCATCAGGGCCGGTAAAAGGGCCTCGTCGACTCAAACCGAAGCCATGATACAGGAACTCCCCGACTCTGCTACGTTTCAATTTTAATAAGGTAGTATTCATATAAAATACAAATTTTATTGTAACTTAATTGTGTCCAATAATAGTTATATGCAATATAGATGAGCAATTCAACTAGAAAAGTTGAAAATAAATACTATGTATCGAAATACAAATTAAAGACATGTCGCAAGAGATAATGCCATCTTAAATAAATTAACAATATTTTGCAGCAATTTTTACTATCAACTTGATCTTTTTCTTGTGAAGAATTTTAACACATTCAGTATTATGGATAAAAAATAGTGTCTGTCTATAATTCTGAGATGAGGTGTTATGTACACTATTTACATTATTCGGACATTCCAACTACCTGAAGAAGGCCGGAGCGTACAACTGCCAAAACGTTGTAATAAATATGGCGACAAAGATGAGGACAATAGTCCGAATAATATAAATAGTGTAAAAAATAGTGTGTTTTATATAGTGCTGCGTCAAAGCCGAGGGATCGAGCACATTCATTTTCAGTAGAAATTATTACTAACCCGTATAACCTCTCATCTCTCATTGTAGATCGCAGATAATGTTTTATAAGTTTTAGTTTGTTGAAATTTCTTTCGGCACTTGCAATTAATTAGCTGATTTTTCCGCATTTTTTAGGTATCCGTCATCGTGATGTAATTCTCTTTATTAAAAAAATATTTTAAAAAATAAAATATATTTTTCTGATGCTTTTTTTGAGGAATAGTAACAGATTTAATTTAATTAATCTGATTCGAAATAAATATTAGTGTAATTTTAAAATATCGTAGAATTGTATTTTTAACAGGGCTATAACTAATTTATTAAAAGGAATTTAGGAAAATTATGAAACGGACTATTCGGTAATTTGGAAAAGATAAGAAAATTCGGTAACTATAAAATAAAAGTCGATTGAAAATTTATTTTAGGAAAGTTCTACTGTGAGGATTTGTGGGGATACGCATTATTTTGGGGGATATGATTTGCGTATATGTATCCTTCTAAGGCAAGCATGTCTTTTCCTTTTTTCAGTGTGTAATACTTTCATATTGTAGAAAGAATTCTATTAAAAGTTATAACAATAATAATAATTAATAATAAATAAAAATAAACGTTTACTTATAAAATAGACCCTCACAGTTAATAATACTTTTAAAAAAACTATTGGGGAAGGAGGGCTAGCACCCTAAACCCGGCTTCTGCAACTACGGCCCTGGGATTGTTGTAGTGAGTTTCTATTTGGACCCCACGATTTTCAGTTATTTAAAAATATAGGCGAAGCGGGGGGGGGGCTTAGCCCCTACCCCACCTTACCCAATCTTCACTCCAGAACAGCTCTACAATCAATTTTCAATCTGCTTTTATTTCATAGTTAACGAATTTTCCTCTGTTTTCATAATTACCGAATTTTCCGGGCGTCACTAAAGGTGCTAACATGGTTGATAGCTTGAAAGACAGACGCAAGTTTCTCTAATTTCTTCTACGGTAGATATATCTGTAAAAATGACTTGAAGAATATAACGTGAGCGCCTTCTTTATATCATTTTTAACTACCAAGTAATCTTAAAAAAATGAAGAAAATATTATCCGTAATTTAATGTTTTATAGAATTTATTATAGGTACTTTGACTTTAAATTTACTATAGTTATCGTTCTTATTTTCTGATAATGTCGTGTGTGGACGTCCGTATTAAAAAAAATTGGCACGTTTATACACATCAAAAAAAAAACTTTAAAAGTTAAAGAGAGAAATGTGGACTTCAAAGAAAAAAAAATTATTTACCAGTTTTGTAATTAACCAGTTTTTTTTAGTTATTTTCTATTTTATTTTAATTTTTAGTTTTAATTCTTTTTTACAAAATATTTTTATTAAAATATTTCTTAAATAATAAAAGAAAAAATAACGTATGAAATTTCTGTTAAAGAAATTTTTTATTTTTATTGAGTGTTTTAAAGGAATATTTTGCTTATTGGAAATTAAATTTAATCTGTTAGCTTGGAATTAAAACTAAAATGAAAACTTCAAGAAAGATTTTTTTCATTTTTTAAAATTTCATTTAAACTTTAAATATCTCCTTTCTCAGGTGGTAACTCGTTTTATGTAATTATTTTACTTACTTAGGTTTAATGAGTGTTTCTTTAAGAAAGGTTATCGTCTGTAATAAAAAAAAATCAGTTTCATTATATTATTTATCGTTTCTTTAATGAATTCTAAATAAAAAATAAATAAAGTATCAAAGTGATTATAATTCAAACGCAAATAAATAAATATTGTATTTACGAGGCAACTTTTATTCATAAAAATGCAGTATTTATTCACGAGATAATCACCATTATTAATTTGTATATCATATATATCTAATAATAAAACTATTATTAGATAGTTATTAAAATCATCATTAAAATTATTAATAATTATAGAAAACGTAAATATAAAAATATATTTTTTTTTTATTTAATGTATATTGCTTCTAGTGGGATTTTGTCCGTTTTTCAACTATCGATAGCCACTTTTTTGTCACGTCCAAACTAAAAAATATTAATAATAAAAAAAACAAAAAAAAACAAAAAAACTTGCGGCTTCTATTTCGAAATTCCGCCATAACTTTGTAAGAACTATTTCCACCGAGTGGGAACTTGTGTTGTCAAGGTTCCTAGCTGTATTCTTTTGAGACAAAGTTTCAGATTAAAGAACAAGGCAGTCGGAAGATGAGACACGGAAGATTAATGTCACGGTTAATCCGTTGTAAGAAAAAAATAAAATAAAAAATGGATGTATTCGGACGAAAAAAGAATAAAGAACGCAGAATGACGTCAAAGTCAGCGAAAAATCTTTTAATCGTCTGTTGTGCTGAATTTAATTTGTAACGTACGAAAATGTAGGGAGAAAAAAAAGGAAATGTTGGTAAGACAACGTGATTTCAAGACATTTTTTTTAATGATTCCTAATTCAGAAATAAATAAATAATGTATCAAAGCGACCATAAATCAAAAGCAAATGAATAAATACTGTATTTACGAGGTAAGCCTTATTCATAAAAATGCAGTATTTCTTCACAATTCTTTATTTTTATTGAATGTTTTAAAGGAATATTTTGCTTATTGGAAATTAAATTTAATCTGTTAGCTTGGAATTAAAACTAAAATGAAAACTTCAAGAAAGATTTTTTTCATTTTTTAAAATTTCATTTAAACTTTAAATATCTCCTTTCTCAGGTGGTAACTCGTTTTATGTAATTATTTTACTTACTTAGGTTTAATGAGTGTTTCTTTAAGAAAGGTTATCGTCTGTAATAAAAAAAATCAATTTCATAATATTATTTATAATTCCAGATCGTTTCTTTAATGAATTCTAAATAAAAAATAAATAAAGTATCAAAGCGATTATAATTCAAACGCAAATAAATAAATATTGTATTTACGAGGCAACTTTTATTCATAAAATGCAGTATTTATTCACAAGATAATCATCATTATTAATTTGTATATCATATCTATCTAATAATAAAACTATTATTAGATAGTTATTATTAAAATCATCATTAAAATTATTAATAATTATAGAAAATATAAATATAAAAATATAACTTTTTATAATTTTTAAATTTAATTTTAATTTTAATTATTTGTAAATTTGGCTTGTGGTGGGCTTTTGTTCGTTTTTGAGCTTTCGATGGAAACTTTTTTTTAAGTAACGTCCAAACCAAAAAAGATTAAAAAAACAAACAAACGATGCAACCGTTATTCTGAAATTCAGCGATATTATTGTCCTATTTTCAACGAGTGGGTAGTTTGTCGTCAAGATTTCTAGTTCTATCTTTTTTTGAGACAAAGTTTCAGATCAAATAGCTGGGCAGACGGCTGGCGAAGCACAGAAGACTAATGTCGTGTTTAACCGGTTGTAAAAAAAAAAAAAAAACAAAAACAAAAAATAAATAAAAAAAAGAGAAATTCACGGATTGTGAAAAAAAACCCCACACAGAATGACGTCAAAATCCGGCGAAAATTGTGAACTAAAATGCGTACACCTTATGCATGTGTGTCTATGTGTATGACAGTGTCACCCCCTCCAAACAAACACAGAAGTAAATCCCACCTCCTACCATCAAATATAGTCAAACAAGGGTAAATAGATCCAATTTTAAAAAAATTGTCTGATGCTCGCAAAAGTATGAAACCCAGGGTCACAAAATCATATCCATACAACTGAATATGTTAGCTCTATCACTGATATTGGACGCTTTCCACTCAGTACTGCGCATATAAAATAATATATATATATATATATATATATATATATATATATATATATATATGTGTGTGTGTGTGTGTGTGTGTGTGTGTGTGTATAAAATATATATATATATTGGAAAAGTTGCAAATTAAAAATAATACCTTTTTTTTTTGTGAAAGCATTTATTTACTTATATATATTTGATATTTCAGATTGACCTCAATCTTTCTTCAGAAATAACTGTTTGTTTACAAGTAGCGTCCGTCGCGAGATGCGGACGTCACGCGATATGGAACGCCACTGTGTTCAAAATATATATATATATATATATATATATATATATATATATATATATATATATATATATATGTATGTATGTATATATAATCAAATCGCGAATCATTGCTGATGATTGTTCCTGTTTTTGGGGTTTTTTTTTCCTGGATGGTTGATGATGGTAGCTGATTTATTTTAGATGGTTCTAGGGGGTTTTCCGATGGTTCTTGCGTTGAATAACTGCCATGCCTCATTTGTTTTATGATGACGTGAGATGTCTTATGACGCTTAAGTGGATTTAATTAACGTGAAAAAAAAAGCACGTGAGTGGCCCAGGAAGTGTTAAGGAATTCGTCGATGACAATTAATAATCACGGAATTCTTCAGGAAGATCCTGGTAAAGCTTCAACTCGGCAAAACTGAGGTCAAAGATATTCATTTCGTTAATACTGATTTAACCTTTGACTATTTATACACACTTTTTGGCTTCTTTTTGTTTTCTTCCTTTCGTCCTCTGTCTGTCTGTCTCTCTCTCTCTCTTCCCACTCTCTTTTTCTCTCTCTCTGTCTTCTTATTTTCTATTTACCCTCTCACTCTTCATATCTACCTTTTTTGTTTCCTTGTGTTTCTTTATTTCTCTTTCTTTCTCTTTCCCTTTTTCTGTCAGACTCATTTTTTCTCTCTCTGTTTCTGAGAATTTCTTTCTTTTGTTTCGTCCTCCTTTTCACTGACTTTCTGTCTCTCTTCCTTCTGTTTTTGTCATCCTCATTTTTTTATTCAATGTTTTTCCTTATTGTGTTCTTGTATCTCTTTCTTTGTCACCTTCTATCTTCCTCATTTTCTCTTCCCCTTTCTGTGTTCTTTCTTTCTTTCTTTCAATCTTTTTTTTTTTTCGTTATTAATTTATTATTCTCTTTCTTTAAACATGTTTCTGTTATTGCATCTGTTCTTTTCCTTTCCTTTCTTTTTTTCTTTCGGTTTATATCGATTGATCATTCTCTTTTTTTCACTTTTCCTATTTTATCTTCTTTCCTTTCTTTCTTTTTCTGTTTTTCTTCACTTTCTCTTTGTCTCCCTTTCGGTCTGTCCCCCCGCCCTCATATAGGCAAACTTAGCAAAACATTTAGTACTGATATTAAAGGTTCTGTGATAATTACTTATGTAAGTGATCTACCTTCCGAATCTGAGCTACCAGAACAATGTATCAATTAAAGTGAGTAATGTGATCTACTGAATGCGTAGCAGCTCGGATTGAGGAATCGGAGAGCCGAGTTCGAATACCAGTCGAATCCATTACATTCACTTACATGCTAAAATCCTTGGCAAAGGTATGAATCCCCTTCTCCCCCGCCCAGCTATTGGTAAATATCAGGACAGACCGGGTTTTATAGCAACTTGGATGGCAACTGGTCTACCGCAGAAAGAAATGGCAAACTACAGCGGGGGAAAAAAAATCTGCCTCGTCAGTCATGTATCGAAAGATACATGATCGCCTAAGCGTGTATCACGCATGGCACATAATTGAGTGATCTACTGGTTGAAAACATTCTCTACATTAAAATATACGTTAAATGTAGATATATACTGAAGAATAGGAACAAGTAGTATTTATTTCATATAATAATAATACTATGATAATATATAGTGTAACCCGGATATAAGAGGCCCGGATATAAGAGAAACCCGGATATAAGAGAGATTTTCTCTGTTCCCAAATTAGAGCCTATGTTAATGAACAAAATAGACCAAACCCGGATATAAGCGAAACCCGGATATAAGAGACTTCTTCTCCGGCCCCGACAACTCTCTTTTATCCGGGTTACACTGTAGTTCCTTGTGTTTCTTTATTTCTCTTTCTTTCTCAATCACTTTTTCTGTTAGATTCAAATTTTCTGTCTCCATTTCTGTGAATTTCTTTCTTTTCTTTCGTCGTCTTTTTCACTGACTTTCTGTCTCTCTTCCTTCTGTTTTTGTCGTCCTCATTTTTTTATTCAATGTTTTCCTTATTGTCTTTCTTTCTTTCTCTCTTACATCTTTCTTTATATACAAATAAATAATACCACATGATTAAAAAATTAAAATAAAGGAAATTATTATTTGAACATATTGTTTATTAAATTAACTTAGTAACTTATTAATTTATTATTATTTATTATTTTAACTAATGCTATCAGTGTCTGCAAAATAAAACTGAATCTTGGGCATTGGATTGCCTAATTTCCAGCAAATGAAATCTTAATGAAATTGACGGATTCATATTCTTTTCTTACGGTTGTACGTAATTTTCTTTAAGCAACATCAAATATCTAACGCCTCGCCATAATCTTTCGATACACTGAGTATGGGTTCCATCTTGAGGGTTTACGAATAATTTGGTTGTAGAATTCGTTTGCCCTCATGTTGACTTGCCGCAATAAGGAAGGGGAATAATAATTTAAAAAACAAACTAGTCTGCTTTATATCCAGTATCGACCAGATTGCGCATGTAGTTCATTTTTCTTCGAGGTAGATCACATATTTTCGAAGAATCATGCACGTAGATCACGTACATAAGAAACACCAAACATTTCTTACGGGGGTTGTGAAAAGCCGAGAAAGTGGGTTGTCTGAGGAAATGCCCTGCAGTGTGAAAGGGGGGATACAATTACAGAATTCTTGTGGAATGCAGTCCTCCTATATATATATATATATATATATATATATATATATATATATATATATATATATATATATATATATATATATATAAACATTAGGCAACATATGATTTACATACAAGAATAATTACACATAGAATTAATCAGAAGTATCAATGCGATTATTGGCGACATCCATCGCTAGAAAACATAATATATGCATTAAAATCCTGTTCATCCATAGTGCGAGTTTTGATCCTTGAAGAAAAACTTGTTGTCTGTAGTTTTCAGTTTATTTGATGTTAAAATGCTAGTACTTACGGACAGTCTTCCATCCATCATCAGGCATGTGTTTTTTTTCCTTATAAAATCAAAAACTTGAGACGATATACCTGTATGTCGACCGAAAGATGTTTTTGAATATCTGCTATTATTGACGGTTGTAAGATCTCGGAACGTGCAAAGACACAACGCTAAGTTTTTCAAAAATTTTAAGTGAGAATTTTATTTAAATATTTCTTGTGATGTGTTAAATCCACGTATTCTATTTTTACAAGTGTATTCAGTTTTATGTCATGAACTAAGTATATAGTTCAATAATATAGTGTAATGTCATAGTAGTAATTTTAACACATCACAAGAAATATTTAAATAAAATTCTCTTAAAAAAATTTTGAAAAACTTAACGTTCCGATATCTTACAACCGTCAATAATAGCAGATATTCAAAAAACATCTTTCGGTCGACATACAGGTATATCGTCTCAAGTTTTTGATTTTATAATAAAAAAACACATGCCTGATGATGGATGGAAGACTGTCCGTAAGTACTAGCATTTTAACATCAAATAAACTGAAAACTATAGACAACAAGTTTTTCTTCAAGGATCAAAAATATATGGATGAACAGGATTTTAATGCATATATTATGTTTTCTAGCGATGGATGCCATAATAATCGCATTGATACTTCTGATTAATTCTATGTGTGATTATTCTTTATATATATATATATATATATATATATATATATATATATATATATATATATATAGTATATTTTCTAGGAAATTTCTCGAACATTAAGGCTGGTAAATGTAATTAATACTGTTTAATTAAATAACATTACTTATTTACTTTAAATTATATCTATAAAATAACGTATAAAGAATATATATATATATATATATATATATATATATATATATATATATATATATATATATATATAGAGAGAGAGAGAGAGAGAGAGAGAGAGAGTTAAAGATCAATTATGGATCGGAATATCAATCTAATATGTTTCACTTTTATTTGAAAAAAAAGTTTCCTATTTGTTCTTCATTTTATCACATGTATATATATATATATATATATATATATATATATATATATATATATATACATATATATATATATATATATATATATATATATATATATATATATATACAAGTATAGGATTGGTGTATACGGAATAAATTCCAATAACCAAAAACACTTCTTAAAAGAGTAGTGATTTTATAACATATTTATGTTATAATTTTCGAATAAATAATTATATATATATATATATATATATATATATATATATATATATATATATATATCATGAAATGAACTAATTCCAACAATTATTTTAATATATTTATTGTTTATACATTATTTTTTATAGATAAAAGATATTACAGTATATGATCTGTTTATAATAAACAGATTTAACAACATTTACCAGCCTGAATGTCTGAGAAATTTCATTGAAAATATGTGTCCTCCGATAAGAAATGAGCCTGTATCCTACGCGGAACCGTCATATTGCCTGATATGATATACTATTTAGCTACAGAAGAAGTGTCTGATTAGCAAGTTTGAATTACTGCTTCCTCTATAGCTAAATTGTACAGTTCGATAGGCTATATGACAGTTACGTGTAGGATACAGTTTCGATTCCTATCGGAGGACATATATTTTCTATTAAATTTCTCGGACATGTTATTAATCCTGTTTATTATAAACAGAGCATTTACTTAAATATTTTTATCTATAAAAATAACGTATAAACGAGATATATATATATATATATATATAGCTGGCCACTGGCATTCGATGATATCCGTCTATCAGGGCGGATAGGCAAGTCCTATTGCAGACGCTCGCTCAGGCACATTTGTGTTTGTTCAGAGCCCACCTGTGGTTTACAATGCAACTATGCTGGGCAGACCTTAATTACAATTTCTGGGAAAATGCATGTTATCTAACGTGATCAACAATTTGAACAAGGCCAGCACGCTCAGCCACGATGACTTGTGGCTTTGTGCTGTTGACGGCCCTCAAGAGTCCCATTTACTCACAAGGCTTGGGTCAACCCGTGGTATGGTTTTCAGATGCTTTCCTAAGGTGCTGCACACTAGGATCGACCTCGATCCATTTTGATAACATCAGGAAGTCTCCTTTTTGACAAACCGACAATGGTGAGACTCGAACACGGATCTTATGGTCAGGAAGCGAACGTTCTAACCATAGGCACACATTTTTATTCAGGAATGCGGTGGAAATTATGATAAAAAGTCTTCTCACTGCTTAGGACTATATATAAGTGTTACATGCAGCCCAATGTCATTATCTGTATAATGTAAATACATTAAAAATGCATTAATAATAGTAAGGAATTAAACAATTTTGGTTCCGAAAATCGTCAGATATTTCTAGAACCGTGCCAACCGATGTTCTTCAGAAATCTTTTGTAACATTCAATTCTTTTTATTGTATTATTGTTTGGAGAAAAAACTCCTAGAAGTTTCAGTTATTCTTACTACCATTTTTGACATTAAAAGAAGAAAGCTAAAGACATGTTTGATCCTAAAAATTTCAAAATGGTTTTTCGAAAATATTTTTCAGCTTGGCAAACATAAGGTATTTTAAAGTCAATGTTTTAGCACTCTTTGACTTAAAAATCTAATTTTATTTCAGAATTGAACCTCTTATGACCCCTGTTGTTCTTAGAGGTCAGCGCTACCTATCCCTCTCGTCTTTTTCGGACCAAGTTACCAATTAACCCCAAAGAATTGTTTGACGGCAGCTAATATCACAAGAATAAAATATTAATTCGACTTCCATTGACCTCCTATGACATCGGAAGTTGTATCAAGTGCAGCACCAGAAAATAAAAAGTTGGGAGATAAATCAGACATTTAAAAAAAAGGGAAAGGGCTAAATCCGATGTTAAAAATGTCTGGAGGGAGTGAAATCAGATGCTAAATTTAAAAAAATTTCTTGATTCTGTATTTTTTTTTATTTATCTGATCCTCTTCGAAAATAACATTTTAGACCAATTATCCTACTGTAGGGATCTTCACTGATTCGCTAAAAAATAAACATACAATTAAGAAAAAAATGATCCAAACCTAAAAAGTATTTTATAGTCGAAATCTTTGTTATTATTAAAAGTAAAATGTTGTAGCCAAGTAAATGGTTAAGAAATAACAAAACAAGAGGTTGCAGATAAATAGTGTAATGAAGTGTGTGTGTCGGTTGACCAGCGTTCAATCTCTTCTCCTGCGGCTTACTACTATTTTTATAGTAAGTGGAAGAGTCCACAATAGACTCGTTAGAGAGAGAACACCACAACAGAAAGAAAAAGTTTTGTTTTTTTTTATTATTAAATTATATTATTTTATCATTTTTACAACGTTCGAAATCATGGTTAGAAATCTTTTTTTTTTTGTTGTTGTTTCTTTTTTTTTGCGTCAGATGAAGTGGCGACGAGGGAAAACATTAGTATATGAAATTTTAGCGTCTCTTTGCAGTGAAAAATACATTGAATTGGAAACTCTTCAAAAAATCAAATAACTAAAAATATCAGAACTTATTCACAAATGAAGGGAATTATTATAAAAATATTTTCTTCTTTAGAAAATCTTGATAAAAAAGAACATATTTTACATCTGTTACTCCCCCCTTTTTTTAAGATTATGAAATTTTGAGAAATTAAATGTTGTAGCGCTTAATGTTTATATAATTTATACGCTGAAATCTTTGGAAAATTTAAATCAGCAATTTTTTTAATTTTATTTTTGTAAAACAGGATCGCCATTTACGAAAATCTGCTCTGAATCGTAAAATAAAAAATGCAATAAAATTAAATTATTTAAGACTTTAATTGCTTTTATGAATAAGATATATCAGGAACACTATTATCTTCAGAAAAAAGAAACATTTTTTTCAATGCTTAACAAATTTTTACAAGAATTGTTTTCATTTTTTTTTTAATTTCTAATAATTTATTAAATTTTAATTTCTAATAATTTATTAAATTTTAATTTCTAATAATTTATTAAATTTTAATTTCTAATAATTTATTAAATTTTAAGTAGGTACCTCCAAAAACGTCTAAAAAAAGAGCACACCACGAGGAAAAATGTCCCAAACTTAATGAA